GGAGAGGGACATCATGCTTGGGAGGTTGGAGGGACGGCGTAGGAGGGGAAGACCCTCTATGAGGTGGATTGATTCAGTAACTGGGGTAATCAGGATGTGTGTGTCAGAGGCAGTGTGACTGGCACAGTATAGAGCAGGGTTTAGGGCTGTTGTACATAGGGTCGCTATGAGACGCAAGAGACTCAAAGGCACATAACGACAACAACTGAACATTGAGAATTTATTATTTTCCCTTTGTTATGTTGTTATGTGCCATCAAGTTTCCTGAACCAATAACAACCCTATGTACACCGGCTCTGAACCCTGCCATGTCCTGAGCCAATCTCATCATCTCTGACTGACTTAATCCTATTTCTCCAATCACTGAGTCAGTCCATCTCATCCTGGGTCTTCCTTTCCTGTGCTGTCTCTCCACCCTTCCAAGCATGATATTCTCCTCCAAGGACTGCTCCCTTCTGGCCATGTACCCAAACTATGTGAGATGGAGCTTCAAAATACTTGCCTCCAGGGAGAAGCTTTATTTCACCCTCTTCAGGATTGATATATTTGTTCTCCTGGCAGTTCATAGTATGTTCAACACAACTCAAAGGCATTCTATCATCCTCAGTCATTGGCCTGTATCAGGTGCACCTTAGTCTCCAGACAGACATCATTACTCTCCAGTACTCTAGAGAAGTCAGTCCCTGGCAACAGATTTTCCCAGTGCAATTTGTCTTTAGATTTTCTGACTGCTGGTGCTAAGACTGTTCCAAGCAAACTGAAGTTGTTAACAATCTCAGTCTCCATCTATCATGAAGCTGCCAGTTGGCCCAGTGGTGAGAATCTGTTTTCTTGATGTTGAGTTTTAATCCATATTGAAGACTATAGTCCTCGTTGTTGTTGTTGCTGACTGCCTTTGAGTAAAACACAATTCATAGCGACTCTATGAACAAAAGGCCTGTAGTCTTTCTATAATTATCAACATTTATCAAAGCTCATAGAGTTTCCAGAGGCATGTTGTTTAGGAAGTGGATGCCACTCCTGCTTCCAAAATAGTCCTTAAGTTTTTTATTTATTTCTTCATTACTCTTAAGGCATTTATTTAACTTTCTTTGCCAATATTTACATAAGCTTAATTTTTTCTCTTTGTAAATTTTTTTCATTGTTGCATGTTTTCTTCCCCCTCCCCTAGCCCACTCCATGATGTACCTCTAGTTGTCATATATATAATTGCATAATCATATATTCCTTTCAGTTCTTCCTCTCATCTGTTCTAATGAAGTGTTTATTATCTATTCACTCTTTCTCTATTTTCTCCCCAACTTGCCAGTGTCTGTCCTATTTTATAACTGTGGTGTTACGCAGTTTGTCCTTTTGTGACTGAAATATTTCATTCAGCCTACTGTCCTTGAAGTTCCCTCATGTTGTGTAATGTTTTACAAGTTGTTTTTCAATGCTGTGTAATATTCCATTGCATGAGTGTACCATCGTTTTTCCTATCAATTTGTTTGTTGATGGACACTTGAGTTGCTTCCTTCCATTCCATTTGCTATTGTGAATAATGCAGCGATAAAAATGGCTGTGCATACAGCTGTTTGATTTGCGGCTTAAACTTTCATTCAGTTTTTCTCTTTCTCTGCTGGCACCTTCTCCAGCAACAACATGGTGAGCCCATGGTAAGCCTCTTTATTCTCTAGGTGAGCCAACCAGATCTAAGATAAGCTATGTTGTCCAGCTTTGTTGCTGTCACACATTTGATAATCAGGTCTTCTGGTAACTGGAAAAGGACAGTATCTGGTTGCCTGTCACTGTGAGCCAATTGAGTAGAGATAAGGATTAATTCTTTTAAATATGCTTTATTCAGATACTGGAGACCTGAGAGAAAATGGATGGCATGAATGCCTTAGATTGTTTTCTGACATCTCTGGATCAAAGTAGGCTTTTTAAGGGTGTAGCCACAGGGAGCAGAGAGGAGAAAAGAATATAGAAAGGATATAGGAGGGAAGTACCAGGCATTTAATAAAGTTGTTTGTTTTGGTATTTCTCCCATATGGCTGTCAAATGTCCTGTGTTTGTTATTTACAGATAGGTAGTCAAGAGGCTGCTTTGCTGATGGTGAATTCTTCAAGCAATTTTATCAGGTTTGTTTTTTTTTAATGTCCAGGTGACTTGAACTAAGTCTTTAGTTCCTTGAATAACAATCTCATAGGTAGCTAATCAGTCAGATTAAAGGACCCACATAGACAACTTCCATTGTTATCCTAAGCTTATAAACTATGTCTGAGTAATTAGATTAAAAGACAACTTTTGGCGAGCTCTGGTGGCCTAGTGGCAGGAAACTGCACTGCAATCCCAGAGGTGCGCGGTTCAAATCCACCAGATGCTCTGCTGAAGAAGGAGGAACAATCACCTCCTGTACCAATCAGATCCAAGTTGAAGGTACACACATTAAAAAAAAAAAAAGGAAAAAAAAAGACAACTTTTAACATAGGCAACTTTTACTGTGGTCCTAAATTTGGGCAACTGTGTCTGAGCAATCTGGTTAAAGAACCTTACATGAGCAATTTGTACTAAACTTATAAGCTCTCTGAGCTCATGCGTCCATCATTTCCTGCATTCAACACAAATCAATATTAGATAGAAGCAAACAAGAAATCTTACTTTGCTATTTACTGGAAACTCATTCAAGTGCTTCAAGTTGATGTTCTTAACTCTCTTCTATAAAGTGTGCTTACTCAGCTACAAACCTGCCTGACTATACTGTCATCCACGCACATGATTTTTATAGGTAGATTTTGGAAAGATAGTGAGGGAGAGATAAATGGTAGTTTAAATATAAGGTGATGCATTAGAGAATTCTTACCACAAACAGTACATCAGTTGGAGAGAAACCTCCATATATTTGAACTGCATCAGGGCCAAAAGGCATTTATTTGCTCCTTGATCAGTGTGAAGGATTGCATCCTTGGCAATCTCTGGCAAACCTTCTTGATGACTGAGCTATGCAGGACCTCATTGCAAAAGTTATGCAAATATTCTTAAACTGGAGAGCCCAAGATGGACAATGCAAATGATACAATCACTGACATTTCAACATTTTTGAGCATTTTCTACAGAGAGATTGAAATAGAGATTTTAATCTGTAAAGTATTAGGAGAGAGACCAATAGAACAGGAAAGCATTTTCCAGAAATGACACAGACACATTTTCCGTGACTTTTTGAAATATTCCAAGTGTATTTTGCCCTGATGATCAATTTACATTAGTTCTTGAATCTTCTTTTCCAGTTTTTTAACATCAGCTCCACACACTTCAAAAATCTATTAATAAATACACAGAAGTGAAGACATTATTGGTTCAAGAATTGCAACGCTTTGAATTTTGTACTTAATTGTAAAATTATGCCTTCTCATGTCTATTGTTTGCAAGATATTTCAAATGTAGATACACATGGAACACAACCTAAACTTACCTAAGTTAATGAGATTTTACTTATGTGATGCTTTTTCAAAATTGTCTGTTTATGTTTTTGGGTTTGTAAATATATTTTTTTTTTTACAGATTCTAGAATCCTCCATTAGAACCATTGATACCAAGTCAGTTCTGACGCTTACTGAGGCTATAAGTCTTGGTCAAAGGAGAATGTTCATCTTTCCTCCTCACTGCTGGTGTAGGTCAATTACAGACCTTTTGGTTATAACAGCACAACATGCAATGCACTACACATTCAGAGCATCCCTGAGATTTTAAGCATATTAGCTGTTGTTATTACATGCCATTGAGTTGCATATGACTCATAGTGACCGTATGTACAACAGCTCTGAACCCTACCCTATCCTGAGCCACTCTCACTGACTCTGATACACCCAATCCATTCAGTTATCCTGACAATCCATTTCATCCAGAGTCTTCCTCTTCTGCACTGTCCCTCCACCCTTCCAAGCATGCTGTCCTTTTCCAAGGACCAGTCCCTCTTGGTCTCATCCCTGAAGTGTGTGAGATAGAGCTTCAAAGATCCTTGCCTCCAAGAGGAAACTTCATTTAACCCTCTCCAAGACAGACCTATTTGTTCTCCTGGCTGTCCTTGTTCAATATTCTTCTCCAGCACCATGACTAGTGTTAGAAATAAACTAATTCATTAAGTCGTTGAAATTTCCCAAACCTTTTAAATGTTAGTACTGACGTCTTGTTGCTTTTTATCAGTGGTTTCCTGAATCAAATGACTTGGTCAGTCTAGGCAATGATAAATAACCAAGGTAATGGTATATAATTCATTGATGAGTCTAAGAAGTACATGTCCCTTCCCCACCTAATTTTATCACCTCTAAATCAGAATGTACTTTACAATGAATAGTGTGTTATATTTTAGTAATTTTTTTCCTTTAAAATAATGGTGCAATAGTGAAAGATTTAACTATTTGATAATATATGCAAGTTAAAGATCCTTAGTACTCATTATTTCTTAGTGGAACCTGTATCATGGAGGTTGGAAAGAAGGAAGAGAGGGATAAACCACAGATAGGATTGGATGACTGTCTGAGTTTCTGATGGGGAGGTGTTAGAAGCCAGAAAATGATGTTTGGATTTTGGTGCCAGGGATGAAGAGAGTCTGGGACAATGCCCAGTGTGTGTATGGAAGAAAAAGTCTCCCCAGTTAGTGAGTGAGTCCCTGGACATCATCAATCTGTGCCTGAGTACTGCCTCTAGGTATCATATTCTTTGCAAGGAAACTGTGTTTGTAACTTCGTCTTGGCCCTGTTACACTTACCGGCTTGATCTCCTTTCCACTTCTGTAACAGCAACATAGTCTCTGGAGTCTTGAGAATATGGTCACCTAGGTGTGGGTACAGAATTTCATGATTTATCTGGGTTGTCTGGTCGATGACCATCTCTCCTATAAATAGTTCCCCTGGCTGTGGCCAAGGGAAGAAGGTGTTATAAAAGAGTTATAAATTTTTTTCCTCTTTAGAAGATCTGTGTGGCAGCTGGGTGATGGCCCTGGGGTACAAAGGAACCATCATAAAATTCTGATCCAATGACAAGAACTTCTGGCAGAAACAGACAAGATTTGATTAGCTATAGTAAAGAGTAGGAAAAGGATGGGAAGATTAGCAAAGCGGCCAGGCCACTGAACCCATCTTCAGAAAGCTAGGGAATAATGAGGGACAAAAGACACGCTTGTCTATTATCTGGAGGTTGACAAAGAGGGACCACTGTTTTCACTTGAGGGCTTCCTAGACAGCTCTGGGATTGCAGTGCAGCTTCTTGCCTCTAGGCCACCAGAGATTGCTTAGCTTCATCTGTTAAAGGCACATACAGGAAGTGAGAGCTTTAGGAGTTCCCTTTCAGTTTAGTTTGTCTTTGCCTGGAGTGATGAGAGGTTGAGAACAGGGTCAGGACTGCTGAGAGGTCATCACTCTGCAGGGCCCTTCTCTTTTCAGGAGTACAACTATCTGAGCAGAAGAGAGGGATTGGTAAAGAAGGGATGTTCTCAGTGACCACTACCAGGAAGTTCTAGACTATTCTCAGGACCCCCGAGGTTTTGTTTTCCTACAGCATCAACCTTGGTGGATCTGAATATCTTATCTTGGTCCCTACCCCACAGCCAAAAGGCAAAGTGGAGCCAAGGAGGCCCCTAAGGATGAATTTCTCCCCTTGATAGAGTGCACAGCTCTGGAGAGAGTTTCAAGGGAGAGGTATTTATTTTGTGACCGTGAGGTTATGACTCATTGAGACACCTGGACAGCCACCCAAAGAGCTCAGAAGTCAAGAGAAGAATAGCAGTCTTGTTGCTGGTAAGTGCCCTGCACTTGACTCTTAGTGCCCTTATGAGCAACCATTTGAACACTGCCCTATCCCGTGCCATCCTCAGGATTTCTAACACACTCAAGCCTCCTGCCACAGTAACTATGAAATAACTACGAAGTCTAATTTCTGTTTCTTCTCAATACACTGAAGAAGCATAGGCGTCTACACCAAGCCCAGAAATTGGATCCACTTTTAAAAATTGCATATAATTCAGAAAACAGCACAAATCCCAAGCAGTTAGAGAATTATTTTAAAGAGGATGTGCTTATGTAACGACATCAATATATATTACTCAGATACTGTCTTCTCAGTCATTATCAACAATTCTAAATTCTTCACTGTCCATTTTTAAAACATTATAAGCGCTTTTTGTGGTCTGTATTCTTCTGTTTGGCTTCCTTCACTCAACACTACACATAAGAGATTTATTTGCGAGTGACAGTACATTCATTTCAATATTTTATCGTATTCTGTTGTGTGTCTATAGCACTTTATTTTGCTATAACAGATAGTGCTGCTGGAGAAACACTCTTGTTTACATCTCTGGGGGGAATAAACATACTAATTTCTGTTGGTCATAGACCTGAAAATGGATTGTTGGGTTTACCATTAGCAGAAATGAAAAACAAACCCAAGCAAAATCCACTGCTGTGGGAGTCTCTTCCAACTTATGGTGACCCTCCAAGGAGTCTCTGAAGCGTAAATTTTGGTGGAAGGAGACTGCCCCTCTCTCTTCTTTTTTTATTTATTTATTAAATTTTATT